CTGAGAATTCCTGAGAATTACCATCCAGAATTCCCAAATACCACCCAGAATTCCCCAAAATTCCCAAGAATTTACCACCCAGAATTCCTGAACATTCCTGAACATTCCCACCTAGAATTCCCATCCAGAATTCCCAAAAATTCCAGACTCTGCTGCCCTTAAACCACTGGATTTTATTCCAAATATCTTTGGGAGCAAGTGGGAACAAAAATTCCTGGAATGGGGAAATCCCAGGGTTCCTCCAAAGTGCCCTCAGGAGATGGGAAATCCCTGAAAATCCCCAGAAATCCCAGGATTCCCACAGGGGTCCCGGCTGTTTTTCCTTCATGTCCTCGCTTTGGGAATTTTTTCCTATGGAGCAGCCGCAGCCCGGGGCTGATCCCGGCCGGAATTCTAGGGCTGACCCCAGGGCTGATCCCGGACTCGATCCCAGCTCCGGAATTCCCGGGAATCAGCAGGAGGGGGCTGATCCCAGGGATGAGCCCGGAACCGGTCCCAGGATGGGACTGATCCTGGAACCGATCCCGGCCTCGATGATGATGATGATGACGATGATGATGACTATGACGATGACTCCGGCATTCCCGGCATTCCCTCCCGGGCTCAGCAGGAGCTGGCCTGCAGGTTGGCCTCGCTCAGGAGGGAGGCGATGGCTGCGGACCCGAATTCCTCATCCGAGCTCAGCCGCTCATCTTGCAGCGCCGAGTCCACGGCGCGGCGCCTGCAGGGGAAAATTCCAGCCTTTCCCATGGAATTCCCGGCCTCTCCCATGGAATTCTGGCCTTTTCCAAACCACAGTTCCCTAACCAGGCCTCCTTTTCCATGGATTTGGACCATTTCCCATGAATTTAGGACTTTTTCCTTGGGATTTGGGGTTTTCCCATGGGCTTGGGACCTTTCCATGGGTTTAGGGACCTTTCCCATGCATTCTGGAATTTTCCACCTGGGAATTCCCTACCAGGCCTCCTTTTCCATGGATTTCAGGCGCCGCTGGAGCTGCTCGTTGAGCTCCTGCTGCTCCTCCAGCTCCCGCTGGGATTTTTTCCGGGCGTTTTCCAAGCGCTCGATTTCCTCCTCGGATTCGTCCACCTGGCGCTTCAGGGCCTTCACCCGCAGGCTCAGCTGGGAATTCCCGGGATTCAGGGTCAGATTTGGGATTTGGGAATTATGGGAGAATCCTGGGGTGCCCAGGCCTGGCCTTGGCCTCGGATTTTTAAGGATTTTAGAGAATTTTAGGGATTTTAAAGGAATTTTTCAGGATTTTGGGGGTTTTTTTCCATCCCAAATCACTCCGGGAATTCCTTCATTGGGATTTTACGGATTTTCCGGATCCAAGCTCCATTTTTTCCATGAGTTCCCCACCCCTGAGATGGTGGGAATGTCACTGGCCTCGGGTTTTTATGGGTTTTTTTAAGGATGTTTGGGATCTTTACCAGCCCAAACCATATCAGGATTCCCTGTCATGACTCAGATGGGGTTTTTGGGATAAATCCTGAATCCTAGCCCTGGTTTTTCCATGGAATTCCAGGAACTCCAGCCCCACCTGGTCCCTTTGGTTGCTGCTGCTCTGCCGCTCCTCGTCCAGCTGCAGCGACAACTCCTTGATTTTCCTCTCCAGCTTCCGGTTGGACGAGAGCAGGACGCTCTTCTCCCTGTGGAAAAACGGGAATTCCACGGATTCCCCGCCCTTTGGAGCGTCCTGAGAGTGGGATTTTGACAGATCTTTATGGGATTTTAAGGAATTCCAGGGATGTAAAGGATTTTTAAGGAATTTTTAAGCAATTTTCAGGAACTGGTAAGGAATTTTCAAGGATTTTTTGGGGTTTTTAAGGGATTAGGGATTATGGAAAAATTTGGGAATCGGGATTTGAGATTTGGGAATTGGGAAATGGGATTTGGTATTATAGAAAATGTGGGAATTGGGACTGGAAAAATTTGGGATTTGGGATCGGGCACCTCTCCTCGGCCTGGAGCTGCTCCCGGAGCTCTTCCAGCTGCGATTCCAGCTGGGAATTGCGGCTGTTCCCGGGTCGCTGCTGCCCCTCGGAAGCGGCCAGCCGGTTCTTCAGCTCCTTGTTCTGGGAAAAATTCCCAAAAATCCCCCTGATCCTGGGGCTCTTCCCGGTTTTGCCAAGTTTCCCAATGGGGAGGAATTCCGGGAATTCTTTGCAGGATTCCAGGAGTCAGGAAGGTGGGGGCAAGTGGGAATTCTGGGACTTGTCTGTGAGGAAAAGTGGGAATTCTGCACAGGAAAAGTGGGAATTCTGTTGGAATACTGCAGGAAAAACACCCTGGGAGAGGGCAGAGAACCCTAGAAGTTGGGACTGGGAATAAAAGGAAAAGCAGGAAAAGTTGGAAAAAAACAGGAAAAAAAAACAGAAAAAAAAAAATCTGAAAAAGCAGGAAAAAACTGGGAAAACTCTTTGGAATCATGACCCCATTCCCAAGGGTTCTTTTCCCAGAATTCCTCCTGAAATCTGGGTTCCCACATGGCCATTCCCACCAGGATTCAAGGCTGGATCCAGGGATTTTTCCTGGGATTCTTCCGGGTTTTTCCTGGGAATGTTTCCAGGATTTTCCAGGGATTTCCCGCACCTGGCGCTCCAGGGAGGATTTGTCACATTCCAGGTCCTGGCGGCTCGAACGTTCCTGGAGCAGCTCTGCCCGCAGCTGCTCAATCTGGGAATAAACCCGAAAACCACGAATTTCCAGGATGTTCCATGGATTTCCATGGACCTTCCCATGGATTTCAGGAATGGGATCAGCAGATGCGCTGGGATTCTCCAGGAATTGTGGGAAGAGCATCCCTGGGATTATTCCCAGCTGGAAAAATTGGGAAAAATTCTCATTTTATGCCCCATTTATGCCTTGGAATTTTTGTGGAAAAAGGAGGGAATAAAGTCTGGGAAAAGCCCAGAATCCATTGGGATTTAATCCCTACATTCCCACTCAAACATCAAAAATTGGGAATTCCTTTGGGAATTCTTTGTCCCTTTTCCCAACCTCTTTCAATCCCCATTCCCGCCCCAACTAACAATTCCCAGTTGGAATTTTCAGCTGGGTCCTTGGGGGGGGGCGGGGGGGGGGGGAGGGGTTGGAATTCCAGGAGA